ATGTGCTCAAAATGGCCGCTTATCACAAAGAACTCAAAGTTTCTGCACACTGTAAGTCTATCAGGAGTGGGGTTTTGCAACCATGAAAACCCTTGTGGGACCGGATCTCCTGCTGAGTTTTGTCACATACACCAGCTTCAAAGGCACATTTACATATCATCTCATTTATGGTTTTAGAGCGCCCCCAAAAGACTGGTCTCATAATTACATCACGAACAAATGTTTTTCTGTATTTCTCATTCTGATAAAAAAAAGGAGAAAAGAATTATTGTATTTTCTACGTGATTCAATCATTTGAAACAATGTACTGTTTTAATCACTTCACAAGCAATCTACCTCTGTGTGTTTAATCAATTTAGTTTCGAGAGACTGTGAAAAGGAAGGCAGGTCATGTGACTGTTTTCAGCCAATCACGAGTTTTTCAGGGTCAACAATAGGACCAGTTTAGCAGCAGTCAGTGGAGCAGAAGAAAAAAGGAAAGCAGGAAGCAACATGAAGTGAAGAAGTGAGAGGATTAGCTCCAGTTTTCCCTTAGGGGACAATTTTTTTTTATTTTATGTTATTTTATTATATTTTATTTTTGTACTTTTGACGGAGTTATTTGGGAGGAAGCAAAGTTGCGTAGGATTCTAAATTGACTTTCATTCACAAAGTCAGGACCCACCAGAAGCTGCGAAGGGTGTCGAGTGTGCGTGAGCTGAGAGGTTTGCCAACCCTATCGGAGCGCCAGACTATCTAAACGGGACTTTGTCTGCCAGTCCAAAGCGAACCTTCAACCAGAGGTAAGACAAGGCTGTTGGTCTGAAACCTTGCAAAGTACCCAAGAAGTCTGAAGACGGCTTCGGTGAGCTACGCTGAACACCACGGTAATCTGCGGTGTGCTCTCTTAATGTGAATGTAACAAGTTGGAATTAACGCAAGTTGTGTTTCCACCACATAACTTGGTCACTTTATAATTTATGCCCCTCCTTGCTAGATGGATTAATTCTTCCTTTTATTAATCTTTAAGTTTCTTCTAGTTTTTTTTAGTGTAGACTAGTTTAAGTGGTTCAGTTAGAATGATGCTAGAGTTATTATGGAATGACAGTAACGCTTATTATTAAACCTCAAGGTCTTGATAATAATGGTTTTTGTTGCCAAATAATCTGTTTGTATTGTTATCTCTGAATCAATTAATACAAGGTATATTTTGAAATAGTTCGTCTGTACGTTCATTATTTTGTTTTGCTCTTTAAACTGGTAGAATTCACTATTCAGTATTTGAGACTGACTTAAAATCTATAAATTAATTTCCTGGATTACCAGGTGGTGCCCCTTTTATTATGCTAATAAATTACGAGGAATTTATGATTTAGCAATTGTCCATAACATCGACAGCATATCACTACAGTGACGATGCCCTGTCCTCAGGAGGAAGGGCGGCACGAAGCATTAGATGAAACTGATCAACTGTATGGACTCTATTTAATAAAGGGATCATCCAAACATTTTAAAGTTCAGTGGAAAAGTTTTGAACGTTCATGTCAAAATTTAAATCAAAGACCAGGGTCTGTATTTATCAGACTTGTAGGAAATATTAATACTTTGAAGAATTAATT